GGAACTAATGCAGCTTCGTGTAAATGACATGGTCCAGAACCTCCACCCTTCAAGAGCACAGCTACAGACGCCTCAAGGCAGCATATTCTTCCATATTTAATGGTTATATGTGTTTTTATTCTCCCAGCCACATTAGACCCTTACTCTTTCAGTAATTTGACTTCTCCATCAGAGGCAGGAAGGTGGGAGCCTAAGAATCTCTGAGTACCGCAGATTTTCACGGCTGAATCATTCAGATTTGGGGCCATCTATTTCTTCAGGTCCCACCAGAGCATCTGAGATTTGAGGGCTTTGAGTTGTCAGATATTGTGTGACAAGATCTGAAGGTGAGACATAGCATCTGTCTTCTGTCAGTGGCATAATCTTAATTTAACCCTGAAAAAGCCAGTGAGCCAGGGAGGGGAAGCACCTAAGGGACACCATGCTCTAGGAACACAGCTAGAGATCCACTGTAACCGTGTTCAACCCACTTAGAAACTGATTTACAGTCTTCCCATAAATTATGACATGGGGAGGCAAGGAAACAGTCCCAAAATGGGGTTGCTCTTCCCAGAGCCTTAGGATAAACTCCAGGAAAATGCACGTAATGAACAACAAACTTCACTATGCAACTTACACTGGACAAGGGTAATACGAGAATACTCGTTACATGTATTCTGATGATAAAAACTATTTCTGTCCTGCAGCTCTTGCATGAAACAGGGGGAGAAAGAGCTAGTTCAGGGTAACAGATGCCCTTAGTTTGCAGTTTCTGCTCTTTCATGTTTGATGGATGTCCTGCCAGCTCATGTAGGGAAGAGTTCACCCATGCTGTCCGAATATGGCTTATCAGCTTTGTGTCTCTGTGGAAGCCTCGCTCGAAGTGCATGACATCTCTGGACGCCTGCAAAGTCATCCTATCTCTAAGCTAAGATTAGAATTTCAAACAAAACTTATTACAAAGCAGGATTTTCTGAAAGGGCTGGACAGAGCTATAATGTGGAAATTTCAGATTCATGTCTAAGTGCACTATTTAATCCTGATTTTAGATAGGCATAATTGTAAAGTGATATTTACCATAATATCAGTAATGTTTGTGGGTGGAGGGGAATGAAACAGCAAGAAGGAGACACATGAAGGGCCATAAGAAAACTGGACCTAAAACTGCCATCAATTCTGATCATTTTTTTTCCTGAAAAGGCTGTGTTCACAACACTCAGACACTCTGTTCCTTACCAAATGGGTTAGGAGATGTTTTAGGAGATTTTCCCAGCTATTAACTAAATCTCAGACTGAACTGTGCATGTGGCAACCAAGCAAGTATTTAAAAGGTCAGAGGGGAAGGGTTTTAGTAGCTGTCACTCTCCAGAGCATATTCATAGACTGGAACTTGGAGAGATGGATGCTGTGCTCAGAGTCATGGCTGGAGCTCCTGATCCTCACATCCCTGCGGTCATGGCCCAACAGGCTTCCTCAAAACTCATCTCCAGCAGAAGTGAGGAGGAAGGCTTCTCTTCCAGTATTGAACAGGCAGAGAGGAAAAGATAAGCACTTTTCCTGCAATGTGTGATGGTGGGTGAAAGGATCAGTAACTTTGTTCAGCCACACGGGCTGTGTCCCTTCTTGGCTGTTTTATGGCCTGGAAAGGCTCGGAAATGGCCTTGGGCAGCCCGCGCTTCAAAGGACGAGAAGAGGCTTCAGGTCTTTCTCGGACTTCAGTATTTATTGGTTGTTTATCTAAAAGATTTTCTCTCTGCCCGACAGAGGTCCGCACAGCAAGCCAGCCACGTGCACACTGCGAGCCCCCGGGGCGGTCACTTATCTTTATACTCAAAATTATGTATACAATATTTACCTATTCTTTCCAATACCTTTTACCCTTATTGACCTGTGCACTTTTAGTAATAACCAATCCCAAAGTGCCACCATCACCACAGAAGATGGAGGCCAAGAAGAAGAAGAAGAAGGACAGGACACACCCCAATTCCTCCATCTTACTTCTTTAGACCCCCCTGTACAGAAATCCTAAGCCCTGTGTTTTACACTCTAATTAACTTATCCCTTCACCATTTACCCCAGTGAAATCCTCCTATCCTCATACAGGTGTCGTCTCCCGTGTAGGATCAAAGTCCAGCCACCAGACACTTCTGGCAACATTCCAGGACTCCCGAGCCCCCCAGGGGTGGTCTCGGTCACTCTGCACCTCAGTCCTGAGGTTCTGAGATCCCACAGGGCTGTGCCAGGATATTTGTGTGTGTTTGATGGATCCTTTCCTATCTCAGCTACAAGAATTTCAGCCTCTGCATGGTGCCCAGTTAAGGGGGAGGAAACCTCCAGCAGGTTAGTGGGGAACACGTGGGCCTGAGAGCTCACAGGGGACTCCTGACAGTGCCAGTGCTGGCAGCAGTTTCTGTTCCACTTGAGTAGCTTGAGGAATGTCACTCCTTGCTCCCACTTGCCCTCAAAGATGGGCTTGATCCATTTTTCCAAGCTGCTAATCCACACACTAACTACATGTCACACAGTTGCACTCACTACCAGCAGAAATGGGGTGGGGAGTGCAGCAGCAGCTTCAGGGGCTGGGTGAGAAGGGATGAGGCTGAAAACAGCCACACAAGTGGGTTGATGCTCTGAAGTGGCAAGTAAATAACAACATTTCTTGGTGTTTCTGTGTCCCTGATTATAAAGCTGTGGATTTCAAGAACTTCAGAAGAAACTGTGCAATTGGGCATGTGGCATGAGCTAATTTGTGTCAGAAGCAAAGTCATACAATTCAAGCATCTCATGAAGAAGTGAGGGGTGGGAAGTGTTCCATGCAGTTCTCAGACAGTTGGTTTTGGTTTTTTTGAGTTGCACCTAGCAGCTGTGCTGGGGGACACCAGCCCTAGAAGTGAACAAATACTTCACAGGAGCTAAATGGGAGAAGGGCAGAGGAAGAGAATAAGGAAAAGGGAAAAAAGGGAAAAGGGAAAAAAGGGAAAAGGGAAAAAGGGAAAGGGAACTGGTACTAAACCAATAGTTACATGCAAGTGAGATGCACTTTTGGGGCTGCATGAAACAAATGAAGCAGCCCCTCTAGAGGCCACACACCAACAATGCTGACCCTGCAGATACCCACCCTAGTGATTCTATGTGTTTGTACTCAGAGTCTGGTTAAAATCTAAAGGCATTTGGCTTAGACCGTGATTTTTCAGCTTCCCATCTGCCTAAAGTTAATTTCACACATAAATATTTAGCTAATTGCCTAATATGACTGGGGCTTTGTGTCTGTCTCTCCTCTGGCTACTGGGTATGTGGTATTAGCAAAGGCCAGTGCTGGAGAAGTTTCCAGGAACCACTCATCTATTTAAAGTTGAGCACGTGCATGTGTTCAGCAGGGTGGATATCTTCAAGCTGAGGATTACACTGCCTGTCAAATGTGCCTTCTCAGTTTTTCCAAGCCTGAGTATGCTTAAAACCTTCCTGATTGCACCAGGCCTGTCAAGCTTTTCCCTAGTTTACAGAGAGGAGTGAGGTATTTTGTTCTGTAGAAATTTTATACCCTAGAGGTAATTCACTTGAGTGATACACAGAAAAGTTTGGAACCTCCCTACTTCACACACACATACACACACACACATACACACACACACACACACTCACTCCTTGGATACAAGGGAGTTAATCTGACAAAATCTCTGCACATGCCTTCATTAAAATCTGAATGCAGATATTTTCATAAAGTTGATGCACTGTTTATTCTCGCCATCACAAACCCTAAGACTTCAGGACAAAAAAAACCCCCACCAAAACAAACAAACAAAAAAACCCACAAATAAACAAACAAACAAACAAACAAAAAAAACCAAAACCAAAAAAAAAGACAACCCACCCAAAAAAAAAAAAAATCAAACAACAAAAACCTGCAATTTCCAAGAATGCAAGTTTCCATTAAACAAAAGGGCCAAAATTATTAACCTCAACCAGTGGGAAAGAGAAAGAACTTCAGGGATTTCACTGGGGAGGTGGAGGAGAGGTTGTCATTGTACATAATTCTTCCTACCCATCCCAAATACAAATCCTCATCTGCCAGTGCCCATTTCCCAGCTGAACATTACAACGGGCTTGACGCTGCTCAGCAAGAGCTGTGACCCGTGAAGAGAGAAGTTTTCCTTCCTTTCTTGCAGAGACAGGTAATTAAGTTTATCCAAAGCTGCAAAGGTCATGAGATTCTGGCTTTGGTCCCCCAAACACTTACGCACAAGCCTCGCTTCCTCTGCCTCAGCCAGATTCGAGGGAAGATAAAGTTAGGAAGGCACAACTCTTGGCTTGCCGGGGGAAGAAGGCAGGCGCGCAGCTCTGTGTAAGCAGCACAGACCAGCAGCGCTAGCACCTCGTCCCGCTGTTAAATGGGCTGGAACCTGGCTAAAACTCCATCAACCCATCGGCCACAGGCACCGCGCAGCGCAGGGAGCGTGTGCGCCCGTGCTCCGCATCCCGACCGCGGCTCCGAGCCCCAGCCCCGCATCCCGAGCCCGAGCCCGCATCCCCAGCCCGAGCCCCGCATCCCCATCCCCATCCAGAGCTCCGCATCCCCAGGCCGAGCCCCGCCCCGGTCCCTCCGCGCATCCCCCCGAGCCCGAGCCCCGCTCCGCCCGCTCCGGCCGCGTCCCGCCCCGTTGCGCGGTGAGTGGCGGCCGGGGGCGGGGGGAGCCTGCGAGGCTCCGGGGGGTCAGGCAGCCCTGCCCTCCCCCGGTGGGACGGGCCGGCCGCCGGGGAGCCGGGCTTTCCGTGGGTTTGTTCTGTCACCCGTTTGGGCTCAAAGTTTGGGAATAAAGGGAGGGTTTCCCCGCCTGATCCCGGAAGGGAAGGAGAGCTGCGAGGGAAAATGCGACCGCTTGCTCCGAGGAGTCCCGTTCCCTGCCTGCCGCGCCTCCAGCTCAGTTCCTTCTTGTGATGCTCTAGGGGGACGAGGCTGGGGCTCCCCACAGGCTGCTGGACGAGCTGCGGAGGGAGTCTCCTCGCGTCTCCGCAGACTAACTTCAGCTCTAACCACAGACGTCTGATTCTTCAGGTCCTGAAGGATGCGAATAACTTAGTGCTTCGTGTTCCGATCCCCATCTGAGCACTGCTGTCTCCCGGAGAAACAGCCTGAGGAACCGAGCTGGTGTCTGTCACGGTACTTTACAGCGACTTTGTGAGACTGCTTTGCAGCCTCCCTTCCTGCAAGGAGTCTCCAAATAGCATCTTTCATATCTGCTATGAGCTGATACCGACTGCTTATATAAAAATGGTGGTCTGAGAGAGAGAGGGCACTGTAGGACCAGCATTTAATGCAGTAGGGTTTGGCAGGGGGTACCTTAATCGGGGCATCTTGCACAGGTGACAGCTCTGACCAGGTTCACTCTTTTTTGCAGGGTAAAGCAAGCCCTGCAGATACTTGCTAGAGGGACCACCCCCCATTTTGCATCTTGCTGAGTGGACTATGGTGGCAGGAAGATGTTGGCTCGCAAGAGTATCATCCCTGAAGAGTATGTGCTGGCACGGATCGCTGCCGAGAACCTGCGCAAGCCGCGCATCCGCGACCGCCCGCGCAAAGCCCGCTTCATCGCCAAGAACGGCGCCTGCAACCTGGCCCACAAGAACATCCGCGAGCAGGGGCGATTCCTGCAGGACATCTTCACCACCCTGGTGGACCTGAAGTGGCGTCACACGCTGGTCATCTTTACCATGTCCTTCCTGTGCAGCTGGCTGCTCTTTGCCATGATGTGGTGGCTGGTGGCCTTTGCCCATGGCGACATGGACCCGAGCACAGAAAACCCTTCGAACAGCACCAAGTGGACGCCGTGCGTGACGTGTGTCAGGTAAAGTAGAGTTTGGTGGGATGAAGGAAGGGCGGGGACAGAGCTGCCAGCTGTCCTGGTGTTGTTTTAAGTGCAGCTTTTGGTTTACATGAACTGTTGGGTTTGGTTGAGACAGTTGAAAAGTGCAGTGTTTTCCTCTAGATTGCGTAAATTCAGCAAGCCTCCCGGGCTTGGAAAATACTATACTGTAGATGTCTTTGATTCCTTACAGGATCTGAAAGAGAGGGAGACCTGCTGCTTTTCATGTGTCTCCACACTCTGTGGGTAACTCGATTGCCTGTCGAGATAAGAGCCTGCTGCAAGAGTGGGTATGTGTTATATGTATTGTAACGTTGTCTACGGCAGCGGGAGCATCCCCAGCGCCACGTCGCCCAGGTGCTCCCTCCGAGAGGCAGGGAACCAGCCCTGGGTGTCAGGCATGTCAGAGGTGCCAGGAAATGTGTCACTTAGGACAAAACTGAGTGTGTTTTGAGATGACTCTCCTGAGAGTGTTAAATATGTGGGGCTTCAAAATACCTTGGTGAAGCCATAGGCCAACTGTTGGACAGAGGAACACTTTCCACACTGTGCATTTGTGTCAGACAGTGAAAGTTTAAGGGTGATCGGATTAAATATCACCTGTTGAAGTGACTGGATTAAATATCACCTGCTGAAGTGTCCCCCAAAGCCATGACAATTGTCAGGGCACTGATAAGCTGACACAAACATACATGGAAGAGAAGACTGTGGATTAGACGTGGAGTAAACTGTAAGATAACTTAAGGATCTCATCAATTAAATCTGCTTTTTTAACATTAGATTAAACATTAACATTTTTAGATAGAACCTGGTGGTTCTGTACCACCAGGCTGCCCCAGATCATCTGCCTCTATACATTGCTGTGCTGTGAAGGTCTGGGTGCTGCAGGGTGCTCTGAGATATCAGTGAATCCACTTCCCTTTTCTCCCTTCTCCCAGAAAGTTTTGAGGTACCTCACCAAGTCTGAAGGGCCTTTGTATCTGGCTCATGAGGTAGCAGAGATTTAATTCAGATTTAGTTTAGCAAAAAACCCAGGTTTTTTGCTAAATCGAGATTTTCCAAGGTAAAAGAAGAGGGGATTTTCCCAAGCTTCCCTTCACCAGGTTAGAGGGAATTGGAGCAGGGGTTGCTGTCTTGTTTCTTTTCCAATGTCTGGCCACAAGCAGTGTCCTCTGAAATGAGATGCCATGACCCAGCTTGCACCCGCAGGAGCGTTACCCCCGGCATTTCTGGGATCTGTGGGATCTGTCTAACCGGAATTAGCGAACAGCTACAACCCTGCAGCTCTCCAGGGTCAGCTGAGGGGACATCCCTGCGTGTGGCTGGTGGCTCCCTCGGCGTGGCTGCAGTGTCACCCTGCAGATCCTGAGCTGGGGGCCAAGGGCTTCATGCCACCGGGGCCAGGCACATCCACAGCCAGGACTCTGCCCCTGTTCCCTCTCCGTAGCTGCCTGTGGATCTTCCAGGATATCTGCTTGGAAACAAAATTACTATATAATTTCAGATTTAGCCCATGCCAAAGAACACGCACCCTTCCCTCATGGAGTGTCCAGGCAACAGCTGCTCCTGTGCCCATGCCCAAACCATGAGAAATCTCTGCCTTTCCTAGGGAAATCTGGCAACCACTTTGGTCAAAGTCATGAAGTAATGATGTCATTGCTGACATCTTTAAGAATGGCAAGTTTTTGGGTGCAAAATAATTTTAGTATTGGAATGCCAAAATCATGACAAAAAATTTTTAGCCTATTTCCCTGAGGTTTAGGCCCACAGATATTTCAGGAGAGCTTCTTGGGTGGGTGTCATTACCTATTTACAGGAAAACCTGGCTTTGGAAATTTTAACCAGTGCCTAGAGCTTGCACAGCCCTTTCATTTTATGAAGTACTGCAGAAATTTCTAAGCCTCACATCTCTTTGCCACAGAAGGCAAACATTATCCAAAATGCAAAGCTGCTGCACAGCTGTGAGGGGAAGGACCTGGGAACAGTGTGATTTGCACTTTCTCTCTCCCATTTCATGTGGTTAAAATGCTTTCCAAACTTGCTCTTTCACTTACTTCCACTGTTAAAAAGATGGATTTTTTTTTTTCTTTTTTTTAAAGAAGGATGTTGCTAAGGGAAGTCAGACTACTTACTGGACAGAGTTTTAAGCTAAATTAAACTGACTGAAATTGAATCCAGAAGCTGCATTCTGCGTATAACTGAATATTCATGATTATAAGAAATCATGCCAGGATTCTATTAAGTAACTCCTTTGTCCCTGATTTCTTCAGCATGAAATACAAAATAAACCCCCTCAATACAAAGGAATTTGTTAATGAGTAAGAATAGAACAGGCAAAATAAGAAAGCTATTTCAAAGATACCTGTGCAGAGACTGGCTGGTTTTCTTGAAGATGGACTTTCTTATTGCCCAGAAAATTATCCTTGATATTGCCTATGATATTTAAATGTGTCTCCGATACCCCAGTGAAAATATGGCTAGAAAAGGAAAAAAATAATTTAAAAACAGATTAATTGAAAAGCAAAGCCAAGCCAATGAATTATTTAGACCCATCTTCATGGGCAGGATATATTTTCTTCTGGTATGGCCCTGTTAAGCATTGGATGCTTCAGATTTATTGGATTGCACTGGAGGGATGTATCTGGAAGGAATAAAGGAATAAATAAATATAAAAGGAAGTTAAGGACCCTGATATATACAGAGGATATGACTTTGTGGCTACTATAAATAATGTAATTTGGGAAGTTTGTGGACAGCATTTGCTGAAGTCCAGCACCATAGCATTTTAGGGTATTTAAGTTAAACCCACACTTCTACATCCCACTTCTGTGTTGAAATTTTCCAGCTGGTCTTGCCCTGGCAGTGAGCTGAACCCAAGCCCTGGGTCACAGCACTGTCCTGCTGCCAGGGTGTGCAGGGGGCACGTGGGGGCCACTGGCCCCTCTCTGCAGCCTCATCCTGCTCACTCACAAGGCGAGCAAGGGTTTGGGAAGTGTCACAAATCTGGGAAAGCCCATTTTCCCCCACCAGGAAATTCTGGGTCACGATTCAGGTAGAACGAGTGAAGTGCTGCAGTTTTCCCTGTTTCCTTTCCCTGCACAGGCTGGTGGAAGGATCTCATTGTGCCAGCTGATTGCCCGTGCTTGCCAAAACTACCTCTCTCCACCAAGGGCTTCATGGAATGGAGAAGGTGGAAAGCCCAGCTGTTCCAGAGCTGTTCACTAAGCCAGTGGGCTGCCTGTGCTCCTGGACAGAGATTCCCTGAGCTGCTCAGGGTGACCCAGATGGTCTTGAGGAGCTCAGGCTCTGAGATCTTCCCTGCCACCATTAGACACTACACCAAGCGCACAGATCTGAGCCACCAAGCATGCAATGCTTTGGCTGGTGTTAACAGAAGGTTTATGTGTACTAGAGCCATACAAACATGTCCTTAAGTTTGTTTCTGGAAATACATGTTAACAGCTTCTCAGTGTGTGCTCCATGTCCTGAGAGTTAACTGGGTGCAATCTTCCCCTACAGGTCTTTCACCTCCGCTTTCCTCTTCTCCATCGAAGTCCAGGTGACCATTGGCTTTGGGGGCAGGATGATGACCGAGGAGTGTCCCCTGGCCATCACGGTCCTGATCCTGCAGAACATTGTGGGGCTGATCATCAACGCCGTCATGCTGGGCTGCATCTTCATGAAGACGGCGCAGGCTCACCGGCGGGCCGAGACGCTGATCTTCAGCCGGCAGGCGGTCATCGCCGTCCGCAACGGCAAGCTCTGCTTCATGTTCCGCGTGGGGGACCTGAGGAAGAGCATGATCATCAGCGCCTCAGTGAGAATCCAGGTCGTGAGGAAGACCATGACCCCTGAAGGAGAAGTCATACCGATTCACCAGGTGGATATCCCTGTGGATAACCCCATTGAAAGCAACAACATTTTCCTGGTGGCTCCCTTGATAATTTGTCATGTCATTGACAAGCGGAGTCCTCTTTATGATATCTCTGCTTCCGACCTGGCGCTCCAGGACCTGGAGCTCATCGTGATACTGGAAGGGGTCGTAGAAACCACGGGCATCACGACACAGGCAAGAACATCCTACGTGGCAGAGGAGATCCTGTGGGGTCACCGCTTTGTGCCCATTGTCACCGAGGAGGAAGGTGTGTACGCTGTCGACTACTCCAAGTTCGGCAACACTGTCAAAGTGGCTGCGCCGCGCTGCAGTGCCCGGGAGCTCGATGAGAAGCCCTCCATCCTCATCCAGACCCTGCAGAAGAGCGAGCTGTCCCACCAAAACTCCCTGAGGAAGCGCAACTCCATGAGGAGAAACAACTCCATTCGGAGGAGCAACTCCATGCGGAGAACCAACTCCTCGCTCATCGTGCCCAAAGTGCAGTTTATCACACCCGAGGGGAGCCAGAGTGCCTCAGAAACGTGATGCACGGCTTTGTGCTAGGGCACTGTGCTTCAGAAGGAGGAGGCACCTGTGGTGTTTTGCTTCAATTTCCTTTTACTTAAGAAAACAAGAACACAATGCAGAAAAGAACCATGCAAGAACTATTTATTCCATTACTTACTGAAAGCACCACCTAATGGCATTAGAAAACACGTTAGCACTTAGTGTATGAATTAATAAAAAATGGCACGTACACTAAAGAAAACACACTTCACTCATGTAATATAATGTGTATTTATACTTGTTTTTATGGCATGCTGATTTTTTTAATCGTATTTTTCCTATCAAGGGTCTCTTTCTTCTGCTGGCTGTCACAAAATGTGGGGCTTTCCTATGCAAGCGAGTGCTTCACAAAACTTCTATAGTCAACAGCTCCCACAGATTTTGTGCATGACATTTGGATATTGATCTTTTTGTGTGAATTCGTTGTTCTCTTAAAGGGAGTAACTAAATTCCTCAAGGATTTCACTGGAGAAGAACAACCATTTCATCTTTGGTTTCCCAGGCTTTTTCTTTTTTGTTGGTTTGTGGCAAGGGCATTTTGAGAGCAAATTCAGGTCAGGTGTTGTGACCTGTCCATCCCAACGGAAAGCTGGTGTCACTCCAGGCAGGAAAACCAGCAAAATGATGGGGTGCTGCTCTCCATCTCAGGGTGAAATACTTGGCTGCAGGACAACACACATCTTCAATTAGCTGTAGGCCAAGCTGAGAAATGCCCACCTGGGCATCTGTTTCACTGAAATTATGCAAGCTGGAAAAAGAAGATGCCTCTTTAACATTCTCATCATGACAGAAGACCAAATCCTGTTTTGGTCTCTCTGATAGATTCATACATGAAGGAAACACATGTATTTGTTTCACTTACTTTTCGTAGGATTAAGTCTGCATCCTCCAGAGGAAGGTTATTTTTCTGCTAGTGGGAACTCATGAATGAGAATGAGAGGGAAGCCTGCCAATAATATTAGAGATAGTATTTTCAAAACGATCTGAATGCTTTTCAGGAGGACTTGGATGCTGCTGCTGAATTCCTGGGTTTTTAGCGGTGCCTCACCTGTGTTTTTATATAATCTGGCATTGCGAATTGGTGGGAAGAAGCTTTCCTCTTCAAATTAAAATGGGCATTTGTTACCTGGAGCCTTCCCAAAAATGTCATCGGACATTTTTCTACAGGAATACCTAAAAGTAAGACAACTAATTCTGTCACATTTGGTAGCCTAAATTGATACATGTCTTTTCCTATGTGAGTAAGCATAACTATGGACAAGTTCCTGTTCAAATGTCTTGCAGAAATTGTTTTATGTCTGTGGGTCGAGAGAAGTACTATCCTTGTTCTGACCCTCCAAGCCACTCAAACATTTAAATATTTGTTTTTTTCTCTGTGGTGAAACAGTCAAAGCTGGATTCTCATTCTCTTTGAAGGAGCTCATCAGCAATTTTTGGATGGATGGTTTCAGGCTTCACAAGGTGTTGGATGGTGGCATGGAGGGGTATTGCTCTGAGATGTGGACTCCCTGCATTTGGAACAGATGCTTTTCAGAACAAAAACTCTGACAAAATACTTCATCTGAAGCAGCAGAGGAAATTGAAGTTTCTGCTGAAAGCATTAATTCCATGGCCTGCCCATTAATGTTCTGGAAGGGTGGATGGTGAACATCTGGAGAAATTAATCTGTCCCTTGTGTGTCCAAACTATGATCAGCTGCAGCTTCCAAGAAGAGTCAGAGTGAAGCACTGTATTACAATTTGTCTCTGTCCTCAATTTCCAGGACTGTGACCTTCTCTGAGGCTCTGTGTTGGACACATGGTTAAGTCAGATGCTGTGCAAAAGCAGGTTTTATACAAAATAATAATAAAAAAAGTTACAATAATCTCTTGGTTTGAAAGACAGGTGTCTGCTGTGGAAGGTGGGAAAAAGAATATGACCCCCTTCCCTCTGAATTATTACAACTTTCAAATTAAGGGGCTTTCAGACAAAGATATGTGAAAAGGAATGACAGTTCTTTACTAGTCTGTATAGCAAAGCAAACAAACAACAGCAGCAACACGAGCAGCGCCAGGAGTGCACCCGCAGCGGCTCGGCCATGGCACTCTCCCCTTCGCTGCAGTTCCGGTCACGGCCAGCGGGGGCGCTGCTGGCTCCTGGCCGGGCAGGGCGGGGGCGCTGATTCCTGCAGGGGGCGCTGTGTGCGAGCTCGGCCGCGTCCCCCTCACGGCATAATGGCGGCGGGCTGGGTGGTGAGAATGGGCCTCAGCAGGGACCGGGGGGCAGCGGCTGGGACAGCAGGGGTGAGCAGACACCAGAGCAGCCAAGGAAATGCATCAGAAACTCCCCAGCTGTAGCAGGTGTCATGGCAGGCAGGGATGCTGGGTTAGAGTATAGAGGAGAAAGCAGTGGGACTGGGCAGCGGGAGCCAGGCTCCTCCTGTAGCAGCTGCGGCATGCAGTCGGGAAGGGGAGGAGGGCTGGGGTCCTGGGTTTCTCCCCTGAGGCACCCAAATAGATGGTAAGGGTCCCTTCCAGTCAGATGGGGTGTTAGTAATGTTCCCGTCCAACAACTGCTCTTACGAGCAAAGGCTCACCCACAGTAGGAGACACAATGGAAGGACAAGAACTCTGTCGTGGCAGCGAATCCTCTGGGCAGCGACTGCAGACTGGCTGTGCCTGCTCCCATGCCAAGAGCGAAAGGAGCCCAGCCCAGCCCCTCACCACCCGGCCAAAATCTCATGGTATCGTTGCTCTTCCAAAGAGAAAACCTCCCAGGTAAGAGAGTAGCCAGCTGCATGCTTCCCCCACCTTTTTGCCTCTCTTAAGTACTGCTTGTTATTGTTTCTTAGCCACAGATGGGACAAAATTCCATAAGAGAAAGAAACAAAAGGAAAAATCCTATCACCCAACAAATAATGATTTCTTCCATCTCTGATTTTTCCCTATTCCTCTCCTTCTTGTCCCTTTGTATTCTTCATTCATTCTTCTATACTCCTGGTCCCTCCTGTATCCCAGCCTTTTCCATGGTTCTTTTGAATAATAATTTTATGTTACCTATATTACCTCATTATTCTCTCAGTATTTCAAACGAGCTTTTTTTTTTTTCCCCAGAACCATTTTCTCATTTTCTCCTTCCAAATTTTATTTCATCTTCATGGCTCTCTCTGCTTCACACCTTATACACTCTGTTTCTTGGAACACTACTGCAGGGATATTGGTATTTTGAGGTAACACTAAGACACCTCAGTCATATGCCAGGATGCTGAACAGATAAACAAGGCAGAGCTTTGTGCCATGAATGTTATGTTCATATGTGCTGTGCTCCTGCTCCGTGCAGAAAATCCTTTCATGCAAAGCCCCTTTCCTGAGCAAGATTTGCAGTCCTGCAAGAGGTCAGGGACAGAGGCAGCCAGTGGTGGAGAGCAGGAGAGGGGTCCTTGGCCTAGGAGCTGCTTCCCTGACTGAAAGGACAGATTTCAGACCCAGCTTTGCAATATCATTGCATGTCCTTTCAGATCCAGCTTTGCCTGCTGAGAGGGCATCAGCTGGCAGTACCACAGCTCAATACGTTTAATTATTTATTCTCCCTGGCAACTTCATCAGAAAGGGGTTTTATTTTAAATTTGAAGCCTTCTGTTTCCAATACAGCCTGACGAGTTAAGCATGATGGTGAGATTTCTACCAAACAGTGCTGACAGTTCATGTTGGCACTTAACTGTCCATCTCATTGATAAAAATTTAGTAAATTAGATTAAATAAGGTATCAACATCGTCCCTTCACACTTATTTGTATCCCTACCATCCCTCTGTAGCATGGTGTAACTAGAAGTGCATACTTGACTTCATTTATTCTGTGGATTTATTATGCTTTGGCTCTTTGTGAAGCTAACAGAAGGCAAAACTATTTTCTAAGCTCAGAAAAGTAATTTTAAAGTCCTTCCAGGACAGGCATAATGTCTGGGATTACACTTTACTTTTTTTCCCTAGCTTTCACCTAAGGAGCTTCCCTGTTTTAAACAGAGAAATGGCGGTGAGAGCCTTTGTCCTTGTTTGGGACACCCAGAAGATTCAGAGTTACCGTGGTGGGGACAGAGCAAACAAACACAGGCAGTGCTTACAGGGGATATAAAGGTTAATGCTCCAGGGCTGAAGCTAAGATTTGAGTGATAGGATTTGGAGGAAACTTTCCCTGTTGGCAGCTGATTCTGTGGCTGTCACCTTCAGCACTTCTTGCGCTCTCTTTTGCAAAACCTGGTGCGAGCCAGGGACAGAAGCTGGAGCTTGGCGCTGGCAAGGCCCTGCTGCAAGGCACACCTTGAACCTCTCTGCTACCCCTGGCATCACTCTGGCCTTGTAAAACTAAAACAGTTCTGGCTCTGTAAAACAATTCTGGCCCTGTAAAACAGTTCTGCCCCTTGAGCACGTCTTCATGAGCACGTTGTCCCACAGCGATCTGCCCTGGCCTATACAAGTGCCTGGCTCTTTCCACAGAAGGGCTGCCCTTCCTTCTGGGCCTTCTGGGTACTCAGGACATTGTAAAGTGAGAGCCAGAGGAACATTCAGATTTAGCTAACATCTCATGTATGCCATGGCCCTTTGCCCTAAAGCCATGTGTCACCCCAGGCCAAAGGGTCACTTCAGAGGTTTTGCCTCACAGCCATCATGAATGAATTTCATAGAAGTCTGAGCCTTTATCTACACTTTATAAAGTTCAGGAATTGTGCTTTTACTTTGCAATCTGGATAACAGCATGGACACACTATTTTTTCTGATTGGAAATAAAAAAGATGGTTAATTCTCCACATCCTTTTTTTTCATCACAAACTAGGGACTGAGGACATTTTGTGAAACCAGTTTCCAAGCACTCCAGTGGTTATTATTAGTAAATGTTTTTTTGCTGCAATCTGCAAAAGTAGTTAGTTCAAGACCAGAAAGGAGCTTTGACATGAGAAAAACCATTCGATATATGACGAAAGGAACAAAACTTTCATTATTTTCACAAAATATAATCTCAGCTGGGCCTGGTGTTTTCAAAACACTGGGGGGGGGGTTGTGTTGCTTGAATAGCCAGGTGAGAGTTAACATTTTCTCCCCCACATGCTTATATTAAAATATTTTTCCCTATATTTGTGTTTACATGACATCCAGACTAATCGAAGATGATAGACAGCAATTTTCTAATGCTTCTCCTATTAATAATCCTGTCTCCCTGAACTGTGTTTTCTATTTTCCCTTAAGAATTCTTTGAACATTAAAAAAAAAAAAAAAAAAGAAAGAGATTTCTCATGTGATAACTGGACAGTAAAGATAAAATATGTTTCCATATTCCCTTATTGGATGCTGAAGAGAAATTTAGCCTGCAGAGACAAGATCAGTGCTGTCCAAGAGAAACAGCCACAGGGATTGAGGCACTCACAGTCAGGACCCACCACCAAGGGCATAGATTAAAAGAAATATTTAAAAATAATAAGTATTTTTATATATAAAAGTAAGAGTCCTGGCTGAGGACTCTCAGAACACTGATGAGCTATTAGCTAGCAGTGAAGGGAATGTTCATCATGACACACTTCAATGCAAGGAAGACAAAAAATGTCCATTCAAGGAAAATATAATCCATTCTTTAGTTATTGCTACCAATTATTTGAACATTGAGGTTATTAAAAATTCAAAGAGGCAATAAAATCATGCTGGATTCCCTCTTCACCTTTAACAAAAGTTTAACACCTG